AATTTAAGTTGCAACTTTGTTAGTTTCGACTTAGTTGCTGGACTATGCATACGCGCCAATGCTTTTTCGAGCAAGCGTCTTAAAATATTCTTCCTAAATATGTCAGGTATGCGGACTAAATCTAAAGAAGTATTTTTAAGCATGATAAAAACATAGCAAGGTAGAACCGTTCTCTCAATTTGTCGGCCATGATTTTTTTTTTGAAGTTTGCCAACATTTTAAAATCATATAAAAGTGAAAATAAAAAATTGAAATGGTTCGAAATTGTTGTTGCTTGAGATTAAAAATGAAAATGTGTGTGTGAGTTTGTGAGAAAATTTAAAAATTAAATTGTTTTGAAACGTCAAGAATTTTAAAAGTGACTCTCAGCGGTTATACCTTACTATATTTTTATCATGTTTTTAAGCATGTCTCGCTGTGATTACGACGTCTATGTTCTTGTCGAAACATGGCTTAATAGTGGTGGTCTCAGTATCAGCCCTATTCTGCATTTCGACTCGAATCGAAATTTTCTCCGTTTGGCAACTTTGGTATTCTGCGTTCCGTTTCCTTTCGATCAATCTTCGAAATTTACGATTATACCTATTCTACATTTCGATCGTAGTTCCGTTTTTCTAAGTTGCAAATTTGTTGACGGAGAACGTTTCAATTGTTAATTTCGTGGGTTTAAATAATAAAATTTTATAAAAAATTTAAGTGAAATATACTATGCATGATTGTAAGTCATCATAAATGAATTTTCTCGATTTCAGAAAGTTGTCAGTTTAGTCAAAGTTTTTTTTTTTTTTGGATAATGCAAGGTATCAGCTGAAGCAAATAAATATAAAAGCAAAGCATTCAAAATGACACGAAAAAGTGAAAATTTAATTGTATGAAATAACATACAAAAACGCAACGCTGAAACTACTTTTCGAGCAATTTTCGAGTTTAAGGGTATCACCTAATTACATTTTCAATGCCTTTCAAATGAATCATTTTCATTTAATGATTACTATTTATAATTGTTTTTATTTGTGTAAGCGCCAATCTATTGTTATAATTCATGTAATTCCTAACGGAATCATTGCGGCCCAGCTGACAAGGCACGGAATAAATACTACCAAACTTGCCTAGAACACCACTTTCACATGTAAGGTCTACATAAAGCCAATGAGTGGTCAACGCCAAAAACCACTTTTATCACTTGTCCGTTTACCGCCGTTTTGAAGGGGAAAAATTGGTATTTTTTGTGACCTAGTCCAAGGTGCCCAAACCGATTCTTACCCCACATGAAGAGATCAACGTCAGAGTTGATTGCTCCCATATGAAATACTCCACAACCAATTGAAATAACACGAGATTTTTCCCTGAAAGCATTGCGTCCGAACAAGAGTGGCTGTAAGTGCTGGGGTTTAGATGTCTGCTCAACATAGGGTCCGAATCCGAGGATTCCATTCCCCCACGTATAAACCAAACCGTCTTCATTTAATGCCATGCAAAACGATCCTCCTGCTGCGATGTCTATCACCTTTCCAATGCGTTTTGTTAGCGTCAATAAACGTGGTTTATTAATTTGACACTCAGCGCTTTCGCTATTATCTAGTTGTCCGTATTCGGAATTTCCCCAACCAAAAATCTCTCCTTTGTCGTTTAAAGCCAAAACGCAATCGGAAGCGCAGCTTAACTTTACAATACGTTCACCAGCAATGTCACCTTTGGCTGGTTCGATTTCAAAATTTGAGTCATAATTTCCTTTCCCTGTTTGCCCATCTGCGCTCCAGCCACAACTATATACACACCCCATTCGTGTAAGAAACATTGTGTGATCTTGTCCACATTCTACAGAAACTATTTCATCATCTGCTCCGCAAATTTCTTTTTCAGGTATACGATATATTAGCGCGCTTTTGTGATAGTCTTCATTTTCTATAATCGGTCGTCCGCACTGACCATAGGAATTGTTACCCATAGAAAATACCGTTCCATTTTGTGTAACTACAATCAAATGTGCTCGACCAGCAGACATGCATCGCACTTGCAAATCTGCATTGGTTTCATGTTCCAGACGACGTATGTAGGTTTATTGCTGTGGGATATATTAAAACATCTAAGTTTTTTGGTTCTCCACTACCACCTTTAAATTGAAATCCCAGCTGAGAGTCTGTATTTAAACCAGTTCCAAAAAGTGTTTGACCATCAGAGCGTTGCACAGCGAAAGCAGAAAAACCATAACCAGCTGCAATATCAGTTATATCTGTGTTAACGGAAAACTGCATTCTTGACGGATGATGTACCATTTCTGTGTACCGCTGCTTCGCTTTTTTTAACATTACTTTGCAGTCCCAACGCTCCAGTCTCTTGAAATCCCCAAGCATACACTCGACGTTTGTTAGGATCAGACACTTTAGGAGTGTAAGCTAAAACATACATAATTCATAAACATATTTTAAGAAATACCATAACGTGAACCAACTTAAAATTTTTGATTTATCTTGCATTAAGGCAATCCGTTTTGCCTTAGCAGTATAACGACGAATCTGTGTAACATGTATTTTATAAAAATTTCGCCACATTTTCATTTGCGAACGTAATATGAATTATATTCAATATTTCATAAAAAAGATATTCTTAACAGGACCTAAATTATTACTTTTTTTTGGGTTTTGGGTAGGTTGGCCGGTTTATATAAAACCACCGCCAGGTTATTCCTCTGCTTTCAAAATATATATCTTAGTATGTTGTATTCCAAGTGTTGTATTCAATTGTCGCTCCACTGATACACGATGGTAATACCGCTAAGGGCCAGAACCACGTGCAAAAGTTTCTGCTTATGTATCAAACGTCGTATTACTTTCAATGATTAATCAATTATAACAAATTAAAGTGTACTGTGATTTAATGGTCCACAAGTAACCAGGTTATTCCTCCAATTGTTCGGTATGTCAATGTATTAAAGATTAAAATTTAAATGGCTGGGAACAAAGTCCTCACGTCGCCAGGTTATTCCTTCAATTTGGTAATTTTTTGTATTTTAATGGCAGGGAGCTATGTCCTCATATCGCCAGGTTATTCCTCCAATTTAATAATTTTATAATTATTCGTCAAATTATTTTAGGTTGTGTGTAAAAAATTTTCTGTTGCGTTATGTGGAACAGTTACAGTGCATGTTACTTTTTTTATTTCGAAGTTACTTTGTTCATACGATAGTACCGTATCAACGGTACGCTTTAACATTTTCTTTTAGTTTTTATATCAACTTTTTTTTCTATAAACGTCTATTACTTTTGTAATTATTATATTATTTGTAGTGTTATCTTCTCTTGTTTTTAAAACTTTTAATTTTGCATTTAATGAACCGATTTCATATTTATGTATAAATTAATCAGATATTTGCTTTAACAAAAAACTCGACAGGGCAACACGACCATACTCGTCGAGGAGCCATTTTGAACTGTAAATTATTACTTGAAGATTCTCTGTATGGATGCAATGTTTGCGAACTTGATGTATCGAATAAAATCGATGTTTTGGACTTTCCTAAATACACCAATATATCGATGTATTTTTTACGATGCATCGACTTTTGTTTGCAATGTACCCTGTACATACTAAAATTATTTTGTATGTGTCGTTGCACAACACCGATCTCAAAGTGCAACCCTGTCGGTGGTCTGATATTTGACGAAGGATGGAAGGAGAGAAGGAGATCAAAAACCGGCACATACAAATAAGATCCCGTTCACTGTTTTTCACATTATTCCAAATTTTCGCCGAGAAAGCAGCGGGTGCAAAGGCACCAATTTGAAACGTGATTTGTTAAGGCTCCTGCAAGCATAACTGAGCCAAAAGTGGTCAAAGTCTTCGTTTTTTTTGGTCTTATCGTCATTGGCCATCAAGTGCACGTCTTTTATCGTCATCGTCCATTTGAATGTGCATATTTTCGCCGTTATCGTCGTCGTCCTTTAAATGTGCATATTTTCGTCGTTATCTTCATCGTCCATCAACTGTGCTGAGATTTTCATCATCATCGTCCATCATATTTTATTCGTCCTCGTCCATCAACCGTATGCAGTTTCGCCGACTCCACCTCACCGTCAATCAAAGGAGTCGCCATCGGCATCTTCATCGTCAGTGGCTTGTTTTGTCGTCATCAATGCTATTTTGCAACGCAAATTGGCCATAATTTGTAAAATCATACACGCAAGTTTTAATTGGAATAAATAACTCATATTCTGTTGTATTTCTAAACTAAAAATTGTCTTTTTTATCCACAAAAGTTTTCAAATTGCCTTTGTCTCCGTTGCCGTTTGCGTGTGTGTGCGTTGCCGTAAAGAAGTAAGAGGCCGTTAAATCAGACAAGCCGTTAGTTGGAATTCTACTGCTTGTAGAAGACTGGAAGTTTGCCGTATTGAAATACAGTTTATCAAGCCACATCGCAAACCGTTATTCGTAAATCAGCACGTACAGTTTTTCTTTTTTAAGCGGACTTTGTGAGAAATAGCACACGTACATACACCTGTACGTACATTTTTTTGCAAAGCTTTTTTTTAGTTGTGCTAACGTAACTTCGCGAATATTCTGCGACAAATCAAAAATGTTTACACGAAGCCAGGCAAACGGAACCCCAGGTGCAGCGGATGCTGATGCTAACAACTCCGATTCGGACGTAGATGCGACCGTTGTTAATATTGGAGCCCAGGGTGTCGCGACACAAACGCAAATAAACGCCGGAAGCGATGCGATAGCCACTTTAGTGGCAAGCATTGCATCACTCAAGGCTAGCGTGCAGGAGCTACGCAACGAAACCAGCAGTAGTCAAGTAGAGGTCCAACAGCTGCGGCATCGAATGGAAATGGATTCAGCCAATGTCACAGCACCAACTTCCGAGGTACAGCTGCCACGTCCACAGCTTCCTCAAGCGGTACAACAATTGCCTGTAGTGCAGCCGCCAGTGTTGCTGCCAACGAATGCATCGCAGTTTTTAGAGGGTTCAGCCGCCAAGCTGTAGGGTTTGTATTTGTGTTATTACCTTTTATTGTACTGTGTTCATTTCAACTTTGTAATTTTGGAAATTTTAGATTTATGTGATTTTTGTGGTTCGTCAATCAAACAGAAAATTTTCAATATTATTCAAACTTTTCTCAAATTGTTTACAACGGAAAATAAACTAAGTTTTGTTATTTTTTTATTTAAAATAAATACCATTTTAAATACCTACAATTGGCGATCCTGCCAGGAGCTATTACGTACTGCAAGCAAGAAATCAGCAACAAAAATATTTCACTAGGAGTTACCCGTGTGCTAACAGGATTATCGTATCAGCGTGTGAAATTCCATCCTATTGTTTTACTGGTGCAAGGAGTTCAACTGTTGAAACTGCAACAAAACTATCACTCTCAACAGCTTCAATCATCAACCACAATATGTGCAATAACTGATTTTCTCACTGTCCTCATCACAGCCAATGCAATCGAGTTCACCGCCCTACGATAAGTGAATTATGAACATTAAGGGCCGTTTGCACCATGTCTAGTTAACGCTAACTGGAGGTACATCCTTCAGTTAAGCACGTTAACCGCTTTATCGATCACACGTTATATGATGGGTGTCGATAACGTCGATAAAGATGTTTAACTGGGAGTTAGAATTAACTAGACATGGTGCAAACGGCCCTAAGAACCTACGATATCTACTGCTGCTGCTGCTGCATTACCTAGTGCCGATGGTTTCTTTGGCTATTGTGACAAGATATAGTCCAACTTCTTTCCGACCTCGCCGACTCACCAACAGCTAGGAGAATTCCCACAATTACCATCACAGCCGAAGACGTCAAAGCATTTGGGTAGCGAAAGTGACGGTAACAACTGGCACGGTAACCAAAGGAACATACAAAGCAGCCGCAGCAATAAGCAACGTCCGGTCGCTGTTAATTGCAGCAATTTCAGTACACAGTGGTGAGCTGTATCTTTTTGTCTAATATTTTTGAAAATTATTTTCCCCTTTAAATTAGATATATATAATATATTTTCATTGTACCGTATATTTAAACTTGTTTCGGATAAATTGTAAACACTCCTTATAGAGATTATTTTAAGTTATCATAATGTTTCGTTCACCCCCACATGATACACACACATCTACAGGGACTAATAATTTAAATGACTCGCTTATAGATTTGCAAAGCAACCCTTTTCAAGAGGAGTTGGCAAATCCTTATGCTAGTCAAAATAATAATGAGGTGTATGCAACCTCAGTGAAGCTTCCGCAATTTTGGACAAGTTGTCCAGAAGCTTGGTTTGTTCATACAGAAATGCAATTCAACATGAAAAATATTACACAAGATTCTACAAAATATGAACACACAATCACAGCGCTTCCGCAAGAAGTCATAGTTACGATGTTAGATTTCATTCAAAATCCTCCGCATAACAACAAGTTTTCAGAATTAAAGAAAGTCTTAATTGAAACGCATTCATTAAGTGAATGAATAAGAAATTAGATGAAATTTTGTCAGATTCAGAGATGGGTGATCGTAAAACCTCTGAATTTTATCGGTCGCTCATGTTGCTTGCAGGTTCCAATTTTAGTCAAGACATTTTAAAGAAACTTTGGCTGAGAGGAGGCTGGAGGATGTACCTCCAGTTAGCGTTAACTAGACATGGTGCAAACGGCCCTTAGTGTGATATTAGCTAGTTCAAGTACCAATGATATAAATGAATTGGTGAAACTAGCTGATAATATTTGGGAAGCGATTAATAAAACCGAAATATCAGCTATGAATAGTTTTCAAAATTCTAAATCACAAGACACAATTATTGATAATTTAGTTAAAATGACGAATCTTATGTCCGAAAATTTTAAAAAACTTTCCTTTGAATTAAATTCTATTAAGCAACAAATTAATCAAAATTCTAGATATAGATCATATAATAGGAATTGTTTTAGAAGTCAATATAGAGGTAGATCAAAATCTCGTGATAGTCAAAATTGGTTATGTAGATACCATTACAAATTTGGTGATAAGGCTCAGAAATGTCAACAGCCTTGTGCTTTTTCTAAAAACAAAAATTCGTTAAACTAGAGTCATCCGTTGTTGTGGCGGCAAACAATGGAAATTTAGATATTACCACACGTCGCCTATTTATTTTTGATAAAACAAACAAACTAAATTTTTTGATTGATAGTGGAGCAGAAATTTCTATACTTCCGGTAAAAAAATTCCCTCATACAAAACGTTCTTCAGATATAATACTTACTGCAGCCAATGGTTCAACGATTTCAACGTATGGTAAAAAGATTTTAAATATAAATTTAGGTTTAAGACGCGAGTTCCCATTTCCGTTTCAAATAGCTGATATTGCGAAACCAATTATTGGTGCAGATTTTCCTTGCAAATACGGTCTCTTAATTGACATGAAATGCATACGTTTAGTTGATCCAGTAACAAGTCTTTCGGTTAACACAGTTTCATGTGTTTGTAACATTTCGCTTCCAAAAATTTTCGTAGTAGAGAACAAGTATACAAGATTGTTGAAGGAGTTTCCTTCTTTGATCGCTGAACCAGATTATTCGAAACCGGTTAAACATTCTACGGTTCACAGACTTTTTACTGAAGGAAATCTGCCATTCTCTAAGCCAAGGCGCTT